GTGCAGTAGCTGTAGCGGCCAAGGCCTAGCAAGGGTAGAGTGAGGACCTCACTGCTACATCGTCTACTAGGCTTGACCACACTATAAACCCTGCTAATAGTCTGCCTGACTATTGGAGGCGTTAGGTATATTTGGTATCTAAGTCTCTGTCCACGTTGTGGACTAGTACGTGTGAGAAAGCACACGTGGTTCTGAACGTTCTAGCAGGGAATGCTTCATAACATTTGGAAGAGGTTTTTCTATAGGTCAACCTGTTTAGGTTTAGAACCACTTACAAAAAGTGGGGTCTACTTGGACGCTACAGAAAAACAATTCCATCAAGTCCTCAAACAGGGGTATCCAATTCTAGAGAACTCGGTGCACGTTGCAGCCTCTGCACCACTTGGAAAAACAGGGAGAACCACTCTGAAGTATCCGTTGTGGCGGTACTTCACCCGAGGAGGGAAAAACAGGGAGAACCACTCTGAAGTAGCCGTTGCGGCGGTACTTCACCAGACAGGAGATTCTCGGAGAAGCGGAACCTGGGTACTTGTTGCGGCAAGGTACCTGCTGAAGGCAGTGTCGACTTGAGCCCCATCCTCACCAGAGGTGCTGGGTATACAGAAGACGCCGGTTAAGGGCCACTGAAAGAAGGCACCCAAACCTTGCCAAGGTCAGTTTTCAATCGAGAAAATGCGAATAGGAAGGACGATTGGTTATAGGACACCAAGCAGAGGAAATCAAAAGCCAGAACGACCAAGCGCTCAAACGGGGGTAGGCAGGAGTTCGAACGTGACTAGCTGGGCACGTTAAAAAGCGAGCAGTGACTAGCTGGGCACTTTAAAAAGCGAGCACAGGATATCCGAGGTCAGAAAAGAGACTAGGACTCCAACTGGTTGACGTTACCAGGCAAAAGACGTACGCAATTGGTTAAGGGCCACCAAAGATCAAAAGGCAGGAGTGCGGAGTTTTTGTTACAGGAACGAACTCAAGCACTAGCAATTACCCATGTGGTAGTCCAGAAGAGAAGCCCCCATCTGAGGCACACATTGAAGACGTGCTAAAGCCCTTCCCAGGGAAGGCAATTCCGGAATCTTAGGACAAGACAAGATTCAAAACGACTACTTTCCGAGAACACGATCCAGTATCTGAGGAAGACTCCCCAGAAACACGACCAGGGACTTCTGACGAAGAAGTACCACCATTTACGCTCAGTGACGCCACCACAGAGGAATTAACAGACCTCTACGACAAAAAGTCGACAGAAGCGGTTCAACTTCGACTTCAATTCAGGCTAGGACGAGCCTACGAACCAACAGATCGCCCAAGGCTAGAGCAGCTCGAGGGAGAGATCGAGGAAATAAGACAAGTTCTTCGAGGAAGAGAAAACTTCGACGAAGAATCTCTACGACTCTTTGACGAAGCAACAGAACTTCCACGAGGAGAATCAATCCAAGTTGAACGACAGGAAGGGCGTTCACAGGAAACTGGTGGATTACAGCCAGTTAATCCTCTCGGAACAAGAGCAGTCCCGCTCGAGAGATCTATCTCGGATAGTACTACTCGACCAGATTATCCAGGAATCACACATCTCAGAAGGGACCAGCCACCCCACCTACCCAACGCGCCTGGAATCACACGTTCAGTTTCAACCGGATCAAGACCAACCGGTAGCTTCCAGTTCTCAGGAAGTATGGCCACACACGCATGATATGACCCGGCTCTCGGACCACCAGTCCATCCCGGAACTTGTACCGATGCCGTCTGGAATGAGTACCAACAAGCATTGGGACTCTATGCACAATACCAGGGAGCAATCCCCAAGCCGCCAGTGGCACGGGAAAAGAAGATGGGAAAAATCAAGGAGTTTAGAGGAGACAAGCGAGAATATGCATCGTTCCTCCGAAATGTGGAACGATACTTACAGGCAAACACGGGAGTCTATAATGATGACTTCAGCAAAATTGCCTTCGTCCTCTCCCAAATCGACTCCTCATCCATGGCAGGAAAGTGGGCCGAGTCATGGGAAGCCAACCAAATGGCAAAACACAGCAATCTTGGGACGTACCAGGATTTCAAGACGACACTTACCGAAAAGTATGGAGGTGTCGCAACCAAGGACCAAGCATGGCAAGTACTTCTCGAAGGAAAGTACAAGCAGGACAAGCAAACCGTCGACGAGTATATCGGAAATCTCGATATCCTCTACCGATATGCCGAAATCGACGACGAATACGCCAAGCTCATCCACTTCAAGCGAGGCCTTAATGAGAAACTTGCAGAAAAAGTCTTCATCACGGAAAATCCGCCAACGACCTATGCAACAGCATGCAAGGCCGCAAGAAAGGTCACGGACCTTCAGGACATTCATAGCGGAAAGACAAATATCTTCAAGTTCATCTCAGGCTCTTCAGGAAGCGGAAGAAGGACGGAGAAAGACCCTGACGCAATGGACGTTGACCGGATCTCCCCAGAAACCCATCAGAAACGTTCTGTGGGTGGACTCTGCTATAACTGCGGAAAGGCAGGACATGTCGCCGCAGACTGCACGAGCCCAGAATATGATCCGGCACCAAATCGCTCAGGAAAGACAACTTCATATGCCAAGACAAAGACGTCCAATCCCAGGACGAAGAAATACTCCGGATCTGGCAGACGAAGAAAGACTTCCAAGCCGACTAAATCTTACTCCAAGGGAACGGAGAAGAAATGCCGACGAGTAAAGAGAGTCGAGGAAAGCGACTCTGAGGATAACTCGGAGGAGTCGGAACAGGAAGAATCAGAATCCTCATCATCGGAAGAATCAGAATCCTCATCATCGGAATCTGAAGAAGTATCCGAACAAGAGACGGTTGTTCACAGGGTACGAAGAGCTCGCCCTGTTAAAACAAAAGCAGTTCGCAAAATCAGGCGAACTAAGGATGAATCCAGCGACTCAGAAGAAGAGTATGTGGTTCGAAGATTCATCCCCAAGG